TGAAGATGGGCAAAGGGTGACTGTTTTGCTGATGCTTCGCTTTCCATCGCAATTATATATGTTAGGGGAATTGAAGGGCTGAATGGGACAATGCTAAAGCCTTCTTCAGAAAAAGGCAGCTTTCATGCCAAATACACTGCACAGAAAAATACTCTCTATTATATTTTTGTACAATAGCTTGAAATTATAGAAAACAAGATCGTAGCTGTTGATATTTAACTTCAAATTAGAGATGCACTGTATTGTTAAAACAAAATTAATATGTCAAATAGATTTTTTCTCGGTTAATCTGTCGGACATCAAAATATTTTTAGTCAACTAATGAAGGTATTATAAAAGATTTTAGTTTTTGGTTAAGCAAAATCAATGAATAATTTAAATTATAACTAAAATATTACTTGGTTTTATACATTTGACATGTTTGAATTTGTTATAGGAATATCATTATAGCTTATGGATTTTTTTTTATTGTAGGGTGATTATAAGTGGTAATATTTATTCTAAAGACTCAACCATTTGATAATGAACACTTAAATATTCTACGATTGCTATTACTTAAACCCATAACCTTTAGAGATAACAATCATCTCTTTAACCACCGATGTAACTTGATTCATGCTATAACTTTTGGATTTTAGTTGTCATGGATGGAGTTGATTTATATATGAAACGATCTACTAAAAGATATTCTAAGTTTAATTTTGTTTAATTAATTCCAATTTAATAAAAAAATAATTTAGTTCAAATAATTAACTATTTATACATATAATGGAATTTGAACATCCTTTACAAAAATTTATTATAGTTAAAATAACTAATTTATCAATGAAATTACGGCATACATAATTAATTTCTCTGATTAAATTTAAAGAATTCAATGTTGTATTCGAGAAAATATATATTTAATGCTGTTTTTTTTTTTCCTTCCATTTTAACTATGATTTCGTATTTACAGTCGGTGTCTTATAGGTTGGAGTAATAAGGAATGATCTAAAGAAACACATACCAAGGAAAGCCCTAATGTTCTAAATTCTAACCCTTAGCCTCTTAGTTAAATGCCTATAAATAAAGCATGAATTCTGGATACATAAAAACAGATGGAACATTTTGAAAAAAAAACAGCACTGGAACATCCAATCAACAACTATCATATTAAGATCAATTCATAGCCGTTCGAACATTCCCAGTAATGCTTGCCGATGAAAATTATAGGAAAAAAATACCTGGCGGGCCAGAGCATGGTTACAACAGCAACTTGTCAAGGCCGCTCAGTTCTCCCCAACCACCATTGGTGTTATCTACAAATTAATCATCCCAAGTTCAAATTTCTGACAAACTTCTTTCATTGGAGATTGAGAGATATATCATCTTAGATCATGCTCTTGAAAGAAACAATGATCCAATGGTAAAAGCTACTTGATGGCAAAGTTCGGATATCTGGTCTCAAAAGGACTTTGTTTAAGCAATTTCAACTGTAGTTTCCATCGTTACTGCAACCATTACCGTCTTTTATTTTGGCAGATTTTTTCCCTTTAATATCCCAAAAATGTGATGGTAAGAGGGTCTTTTGTGAAGGTAATTCAGCAATAAACAGAAGCGTCTGAGCCCACCCTGCATATTCCCCATATTTGCTTACAAATGCATCTGCCACACGGCTGCAAAGCTTAGGCACCGACAAGCTCTGGAAGGAGGTACTTCGTAGCAATCTTGCCCATGAAACAAGTAGAAGATTCCCATGTTAGAAAGATAGATCCAAAAAACACGAAAGAAGATAAAAAGGTAATAACCATTTACCAGTATTGAAGAACCGCATCGAAAAGAGGAATAACATGATATTAACTTGTGAATTTAAATAACCAGAGGTAGTTTGTTCTTATTTCAGCATTATAAATGTTCATGAGCAAAACATCTAATGCCCCTCGAATCAAGCAAGCAAATAGGTGTCCTTCATACATTGCACGTATTCTAAGTCCTAACAAAATCCCCAGAACTCCCATCCACAACAGAGAGGGAACTATAGTGATTTTAGCACTTAACTTTAACTTGAAGTCCGCTTTATTCGACTCCAAGCCAAGTTAAATGGAAAGCAACGTGATTTTGAAGGTTGAATCCACTTCCTAATCGAAGTTTGTCCTGGATTTAAGCATGACCAACCTTGGTCAAGTTGATGGTACAATACTGACAAATGCAAAATGTAAAGCACTACATTCATAAAGAATACCTGCCACACATGTGTATCAACCGGAATGGCATGATGCTGATCGAGGGAGAAGAGAGCAATACACGCTGCCACTTTGGGACCGACTCCAGGTAAAGTACATAGAGCATCAATTGCCTCTGGAAGATCCAATTTACGAAGAGAGAGAAGCCATTGAGCACCTCCATCAGGTTTTGATTGTAAAAAAATCAACTGTGCCAGTAATGTACTTGGCCCTGTTCACCCATATCATGAAATCCCCACATGAGGCCAAGATTACAATCGAAAACCCGGCCATGTATGCCAGAGATAATGAATCATTTATGATTCACTAGCAGAACAGTACGAAGAGATTAAACAGACATTAAGCATTAAATTACTGTTTTTACATTTCCACCACCAACAAGAAACAGAAAAAATAACTAAAACACAAAAGGAGACATGAGTAAACATGAAAGTAATAATAAGAACACGCCACGATTACGAATACATGAGAATCTCAAAAGCTATATAATCTGAAATGTTAATTGTTAATGAATCAAAATTCATATAAATATAAAATACCAAAATAATGCATGAACATGACCAAGATATATGAAATCTCAAGTCTATTCCTCTGGCTGCAACAAAATCTAGCAGTGAAAGAAGATTTAAGGAGTACTACTGGCAACAAGAAATCACTGTCTAAGGAACTTTAGCCGCAAATAACAACTATATAATCATCTTTAAAGCAGCAAGCAAGCAATTAAGGAAAAATACAGATAAAGAAACTAATAGAAAGAACAAAATGGTTTACCTGTAACCAAAACCAGCCTGTCTAAGCTCTTCCTCAGAGACAACAGATAAACGTTCCAATGAAGGGAACTCATGAAACTCAAACCCACCAACACCGCCCAAGTGAGTGCCCAAAGAGGAAACGAAATCCACCATTTTAGTAGTCCTCCCAATGTTATTATTAGAAGAACAAATGAACTGAACCAAGCACTCAACTGCGTCCTGCCTCAAAACCCGAGCACCCTTCAAATACTTGGCTAGCTCGGCAAACCTGGAGTCATTCTCGGAGAAAACATCCCATAGTTTGGCCAAGGAAATGCCCACGTTGAGAAAATCGAGGAGAGCTAGCTTGGCAGCCGACTCGGAAGGGGAGGAGTGGATGAAATAAGAAACGTCGCCGTTCTGGAGGTGCTTGAGAGATAGCATGTGGGGCCCCATTGTGCCCGTATACTGAAGCGGGCCGGTTTGTTTCCAGCGGAAGGTTTGGCCGGTGGGAAAAGTGAGGGGAAGCGAGAGTTCGGACTGGGAGAGGTTGAGTGGCACCCATTTAGTGTGGGGTTTAGGCTTCCTGGAGGAGATGGGTGGGGTTTTGGGTTGGTGGAGGGATTTGGGCGGCGACGGCGAAGATGTCTGTTTGCTGGGGGCTGTGGGGGAGGCGGAGGAAAACGGTGGTGCTGAAGGCGGTCTCGGTCTTTTCATTGCTAGGGAAGGCTTCGTTGAGTGCATTTGATTTTTGCTTTCTTCCCGGCTTCCCCTTTCTCAGTTATTCTTCCTTGCAGCCAAAAAAGAAGAACGACCCTTTTATCGGATTAATTTCGTTTTCGGTCACTAAATTTTATTAAAGTTTCAAAAATAGAATTTCAATTATTAAAATTATTGATAAATCACAAATAGTCACGAACACTCCGTTAGATTGATGTAATAAATAATAATAGATAGTCACTAAATTATCAAATTTCACTATAAATTAATTTCGTTAAGTATTTAAACATAACTCTTACATATACATCCTTTTAGTAATAGAAGACAATACTCATACATATATACTTTTATTGTTATTCGATTTGTGTTAACATATATCTTTGATAAGTATCGTATGTTTTATTTTTTTTCATTTTAGATAAACTTTTTATAATTTTTCCTCATCACGTTATTTTTTAAAAAATTTTGCCTTTACAAAGCTTTGATTTAAAATAAAAGATAAATCACATCATTAGTTATTAATTTTTATTTTAATTATCGGACTATCTTTTTAGATAAAACCATTACTAATATTTCTTTTTTATTTTAATCTTAAACTGTTAAAAAGTTAACCATGATATTAATGTGAATTTAATTCTTTAAAAAAAATCCATATCATTTTTCTCCTTTTTATTGATGGACAAATAATTATAAAATAAAGAAAATAATATTGTAAGACAAAAGTGAGGTGTCAAACCCGAGACACTTGAAAGGGAATACAATCCTTAATTACTGAGTTAGATTAAGTGAATGTTATTTTTTTACCAAAAACATCCTCTGATCCTTCATTTCTCTTTGCAGTAAAGAGTTGAAGACAGAAACCCTTTTTCCCCCTGTTTATAAAATAGAGCATAACCCACACAGTTACCTTCTTCACCATTTTATTTTGTCATCCTTTGAAACTGAAATTGTTCGTATTATCTTTTGTAACAAGTTTGTTACTTTTCCTCTGTTTATATATAGGCAAAAACAGCTATCATTTGATGCTTAATTTGCAACTTGGTATATAATAAACTGCTTGCTTGCTTAATTGTTTTATGTCACCAGTGCCTAAGCGTGAGGTTCGAATTATGGAGTTATTAGAAATCTGGAGGAATTTATAACTATATGAACGTAAAATAAAACACGCATAAATTTTTTAAGTTATTTAATGACATATTAAATGCAATAACTAATAATCTTATCGATTAATTTGAAATTTACATTATAACAATAATACAATCTATTGAGATAAGTTATAAATACCGGTGATATGAAACCAAAAAAAAATCCCCTTTAAAGCGGCTTTGAACCATCTTCGTCATCTAACTTGAAACAAATTGATAACACTAACTTGTCAACACACTTGATTTAAGAGATCAAAAACCAACTACTCCGGCAACGGGATGTCAGCTAAATCCTGCCTGTAAGGAACAATGTCTGCTCGGAAGGAGTCACCGGGTTTAGTTAGCCCACTTTCCATTCGAATTTGAGCATTAATGTTTACATTCTTTTCGGGTTCGATATATGTTATGATGATATCTTTTCGAAAGGTTAGATAGATGATTGCCATGATGTAGATTGCCATTAGAGGAAATACAATGATTCCTATTAACACATTCCCCACTTTTGGGAAATCATTATGAATCAGCCAATCTACGAAGGCCGTAGACAGATAATAGATGTTGATGCCGATGATTCCGATCCCGAGAATCCAGGAAATTACGATTATCTACAAGCAACGATAATTTGATATGATCGATCATTGATAGGCTAAATAAACAATACATAAGAAGGTTGTTTCTTACAATTATTGAGTTCTTATATGGTCCCATCTTGGTTGAGCTGCTACTGAATTTAAGGAGTGGGATGAGAGCAAATGGCAACTCAAATGAAAGAATCATCTACAAAATCAATTATCGAAAACACTATTACTTCACCTTAAAACATGAAAATTAAATGAAATGTTTGGGATATTATCTTACGGATGCAATGATGATCAGTCGACCGGCACCTTGAGATCCACTAATAATGGACACTATAAGACTAGGTGTAATGGCAATGCACCGTGTCATCAAATTCCTCACCCATTTCTTCATCTTAAGATCCAAAAAACCCTGAAATTACATTAAAAATCAACATATTAATTAAGATTAATAAATAACTACTAATTAAGCTTCATAAGCACTTTTTTCTTTGTAAGACCTGCATTATAAATTGTCCAGCATAGGTGCCTGTGATGGTAGAGCTTTGTCCAGAGGCAAGAAGTGCAATGGCATAAAGGGTTGAGCTTGACTTTCCCAACACATTCTGCAATGGATTTTGTTCTTCAGATTTTTGGGGGGGGGGGTTTAAATTGGAAATATTAACATTTTTTAATGGTAATAAAATTTACTTAGACCTGTAGGAGAAAAGAAGCAGAATTAAGGTTGAGATCATTGCAACGACGATGATTATCACTGGAGAGATTATCGGCAGAACAGACACTTCCCGAAACTGATACAACCGCTACATTAATTAAAAACGCCACAAACAAGGCGAAACCACTCTCTATTAGGAAATATCTACAAGCAGCCTGCTCAAATTGAAAATAATAACAAAAGCTTAGCATATACTCAACTCTGTCTTATTAAAATTGTTATTTATTAATTTTTTTATAGAATTTTTAAACTTTAATTATAAGTATTTTAAATAATTAGAATTTATATAATATATATTTGAAAATTGCTTAATCAAATATTTTTAAAATATGTATTTTAAATCAACTTTGATTACAATTGTTTTAAATAAATAATGTGATTCTAGTCGTATTATAAAAGGAGATACTTTGCTTAGTATCCAATCACCAGCTTTGTTGGAAAACATACAAAATTCTAGTCGTATTGTAAATGTTAGTATTATTTATTTATTGATTTTGAAATGGGTAAATGTTAGTATTTGATTTGTACATTTGGACTTACATTGATGCCATGAACGGAGTTGGGTACTTTTCTGGAGAGCACGAGAGCAGAATGGAGAAAGAGATTGTGCCTGTTCACATAACTTTGGAGTTAAAAACAAGACCAATTTTAAAGAGATCATTATTATAATTTAAGTGTGGATCCTCTCTCTCTATAATAATAATAAGGTAATGTTTGGCAAAATAATAATAATAACAAAGGTGGTGCATAATTAATATTGCTTACGGCATAACGAGGGCACCCAAGAGGGCAATGGCATCAGCGGTGGCACCTTGGCCGGCAAGCTTAGGGACAAACATGCCCTTAATGACACCTGATGCTGGAGGCTTTACGTGACTCATTTCCCCAAAGAAACATCCAGCCATTACGAACACCAAAATTGCTATCAGCATTTCCAGCTTCCTTACCTTTTTTTTTATTCATTCAAAATAAAATAAATTAAAATCAGAACAACGTATGGCCAAGTGCAAGTTGACTTGTGATGAAAGGATAAAATTAAAAATTAGGATATTTTGAACAAAATATATATATATATCATAAAATATATGCAGTAAGGCTTATCAAGAAATTAAATTGAATACCCCATATCTTTGCAGGCCAAGGAGGAGGAGAGTGCTTAAACCAGTGCACAGAACTCCAACCCACACTGGGATGTTAAACAGTATGTTTAGTCCAAAGGCTGTCCCGATAACTGCAAATTTATAACTAAATGCATCAAAAGCTGCTCGATTTTAATTTGTTTTAAACTTCATATATTGTATGTTGCATAAGTTAAATCAGTGAACAATTTGATAACTGAAAATTATTATTTAAAAGAAAAAGAAACCTTCAGGTATATCAGCAGCTATGACAGCAATTTCTGCAAGTAACCATAGGCAGTACTTCACCAAAATTGGGTACTCAGCCTTGCACAATTCTGATAAGTGCTTGCCTGAAAAAAAAAACAAAGAAAGAAACGTGATTAATCAATCATGTCAAAATTGATGAACGTTGATTAATAATAGAATTGGGGAATTACCAGTGCTGACTCCAAGATTAGCAGCAAGAGATTGGATTATAAGGGCAAAGATTAATCCAATTAACACCACCCACAGCAGCTGAAAATTTTTAACATTTTTCAATTATTTTTCTAAACTTAAGAAGATTGTGTGGGTTTTTTCCTTTTTGGATTTTCTCTTTAATTTACCTCATATCCATGTTCAGCTCCTGCTTGAAGATCAGTTTCCACTGTTGCATGACAAAAAATATACCAGACGATGATCACAAGTTGCAGAAAAAGAAAATTACAAAGATTGATGAAGAAACAACAAGTGACTTACGGTTTCCAGGATCAAGATAAGCTAGCGAGACCAGGAAACCAGGGCCTACATACGATAGAAACTTTCGCCACCCAGGTTTCTACGCATCAAATTAAACATCAATATCACAACAATCGATTATATATAATATAATATGTCAAATTCTGAAAAAAAATCATAATCATGAACCTCGTGAGCATCAGAATGAACAAAACGTTTGGTATGGTTAACAGGGAAGGATTGTTGTGGGGTGCTTCCAGGTTCGACATTGATAGCAGTTATGTGGTGGCTTCCTCCACCCAATGACTCAGGAACTGCAACTTCACTGCCTTGCTGTTGCTGCTGCAAATCTCCCATTTCTCTCTATTTTATCTTTGATATACTGTTTTATATATATATTAGATTGTCAAGCTTTTATTTATAGATGGAGATGTAGAATCCATCGAACGTTTGTCATAAAACGGACGGCATAGCAGTCCATGTTTTTTATTCAAATTTCCGTTTCTTCTCTCCCATATGGCAATGACACGGCGCTGCCTGACCAGTCATTGTCTTTCCCTTTCTATAAAGAATGGCTTCTGAATTCGAACTTTTATTTAGTTTCTTCAATCATTTCATAAATGATTCCAGTTTTGTAATTTTTCTTTTCGTCTCACATTTCTAAACTACGACTCAATTTAGGTATATTTTTATTATATCATGTGGTACTCATTCTTTATTAAAATTTATTTTATAATATTGTGTATATTATTATAAATTTATTTTTTTATGTAATACAAACTACATAATATATAAAAAAATTAAATAATATATTATTTTACTACCCATAGTTATTCAGGATTTGCAAATGAATTGGCTTATATAAATGTTAAGTCTCAACCATTTAAAATTAAACTAATTTTGTAAAATGTTAGTTTCTTCACAATATTTCAATCAATAGCGTTGAAAACTTATTTCTTTATAACTTTGTTGCTTTTATTTAAAATTATAGGATGATTACAAAATATTACATGTTTAGAACTTTTTTAGTTATTGATAAAATATACATTCTGCAATTCAACTACTCAAACTTAAAATTTTAAAGAATAAAAATATTATCTTTTGCTGCTAAGGACACTCATTAGATTTATAACTTTGTTGTTTCTAAATTCACAGCGTTATAGCTAATTTAAGTCTTTATCGATTGATTTGTTTTACGATGGTAAACGGAGTTTTGGTTTGGTGATTGTGATTGGTTTGTATCAAAATTTGCATTTATTATTATGGTTTTCTTTTGAGTAAATTCTATAAAAAGGCCTTAAACTATACTAAAAAATTAAGCTCAGACTATCTTTTTATTTACATTCAATTAAGTATTTTTGCCTTCTAAAATTCATCGAAAAATGCAATTTGATGAATAGTTTTTGCGATTGATCGTTAACTCCGTTAAATCTTAATAACGTGGAAGTTAGTTTATGTCGAATCTTTTGTTGTTGCCAATGTGGTGATTTAATCTGGTGATTTTGTTGATGTACTATTGTTTAATAGGATATATATATTATTTTAATAAATAATTTAAAGTTTATAAATATAAAAAGAATACAATTTTTAAATAAATATAAAACATTAAAATTTTAAATTTTTAATGTTTTAGGAATATTAATATTGTTTATTCACTAATAATAATTTTAATTGTTGTGATTCATCGACAAATGACATTATTTTAGTCATGATTGATATTAGATTATTAATTTGATCTCGGATTTTAATCTCTAAAATTGTATCTTATTATCAGTTTGATAATTGAAGAAATTTTATATAGTTTGACCCGAATTTTTTTTCATTCGTCAAACATATTATTTCAATCTATTTTTACTATAAAATTTCACACTGCACTCTAAAAACCTGTCATGTGGAACATAGTATATATTAAATTTAGATATTAAAAAAAACTTTAAAAACATGGGCTGTTCTTCATAGGAATCTTGGCCCCGTCAATTTTTCTAAGTATTAATTAATATTAAAAATATATTTATCTTGAAAAATAAATAAAAAAATTTACCCGGTCTCCTTCAATTAAAAAAATTATTTATGAAAAAATTACTTTAACCCCGCCTTAATAAATTTATGGTTCCGTCCCTGTTTAAAAATCTAAAATATAATAATATGAGATAATTATAAGGTAATATTTATTCATAATCTTTCTTAACAATTGATAGTGCATATACACCCTAAAGACATAGCTGTTCGAATTTAAGACTTTTAAGAAGAAAAATATTTTATTTTATCACTGAAGTCGCTCAATAAATTCATAATTTATATATTTTAAAAACAAAGAGAAAGAAGTAGAATAATATGTTCAACCAAAAAAATATTCAGAAGATAAACTCAACAAAAATAGATAATAAGGGGATAACAAGAAGCAGTTTCATGAGCTAAAAATACTATTTAACCTTAAAAAAACCAATAATAATGAATAAAGTAGAATGGAGCAGTTGCAATTAGTGTTGGTAAGCATAAACCAGTCCATTTTAAATTAGTGATGCAAAGCGAACAAAGGAAGAATACAAATGTGAAGTACCTAACATTAGGATGTGGAAAAAAATCGATCCAAAAATTAAAATATTCAATTTGTTTTTTTATTTTTAAGATAATTAAAATTGAATATTTAGAAAAAAAAATTAAATATCTAAATCAAATATAAATTTGATAACTTCTAAATTTAGATCATCTAAAAATCCGATAAAAAATAAGCCTTTTAAAGTTTTTCCCTAGACCCAATAATCTTAACCAGCCTACCTTTAGCCTGACCGTGCGGCCTCGATCTGTATTTCCCCCGAAAAATTTTGGTTTTGTTTTGAGTTTTGTTAATGTATGCTAAGTGCTAACCACATTGCATGTATTTTATAATATATTTCTAAGATAAGTTTTAAAATATATATTTCAAGACATGTAACACTCACAGACCGATGCAGGTGACCCGATCTGATCTGAGGTGTCACATTAGGGCCACCGGAGCGACCCACAATAAAAATCCCGGAAAACCTTAAAATTTCCGTTAAAACGTGTAAAATCATAAAACAAATTATAATTAAAACACAAATTCAGAAAACCATTTATATACTACAAACAGAATTAAAATCATACATGTTTCATACTCGGATATAAAAATAGAATGCAACCTACATGCCCCCTAATCACATGCACCGTACTCTGCAAGAACGTTGGTGTAACTCCAATACTGATGTCGATAGTTGCACTGGATCAATTCTTTTAACCTGAAATAATGAGTAATAGAGTGAGCTTTGGGAAGCTCAGTAATATAGAACTACCAAGTGATGCTGAAGGACATGCAGAAAAAAGGCAAGCATAATTTTCCTTATTGATTCAGACATCTACATATTTTTATGATGATATGAGGTTCCACCGATTTTTCATCGAGTAAAAGCCATGAAGATTTCAGTTCATAGGAAACATTTAGAGTACCAAGTTTTCAGGAGATCGGAATAGGATGTCTAGTGTGTTCCAACCAAAACCAGTGAAAATGTACATTTTTTTAAAAAGAGTAATAGTTAAAACATATAAAACCATAGTAATATCCTCCACCCGAACATTGTTATGCAGTTCTACATAACTACATCCATAAAGACTTACCCTAAGCACACAACATATGAGCCACACTAAGGGAGTACTTTAGGGCCTATGGGCTTACTCAAGGGTCTCCTTAGGCCCATAAGGATTTACCAACTTGATCAGAGTTGAACATCCATACTCCAGAATCCTACCCATACAATATCCATTATAAATCAGATTTAACAGTAAATTGTAATATTAGGATCGTGATCCAGTAAAATCTCGTAAGAGTGACTATGAAATAAATCACCTAACTGCCCTCTACCTATACACCATATGTAGTCCCATGATTAACCCAAGGGAGTGCTTTGGGGCCTGAGAGCATACTCAAGAAAGTTTCTTGGGGCCTCGAAGCCTACCCAAAGGTCACCTTAGGTCTGTAAGGATTTACCAGCTTGACCATAGCTGAACCTTCATACTCCAAACTACCCAGATAATGTCACAAAAAAAACAGTTCAAGTAGTAACCAGTTAAATTCCATGATCCATAAATCAAGAACAATCATATTTTCCAGTGAAAAAAGGAAACCATATAACATATTTCAGGTAACCATAATTCATAAACCAGTAGATTCCATGATCCATAGATCATGAACTATTATATTTTCCAGTGAAAACAGGTAACCAGAAAACATATATCATGTAGCCATAGTTCATAACCCAGTAAATCAGTGATTTTAGAAAATCACATTTAAAACAGGTAAAACATTTACATGTCACATAAGGAACATACTAGAGGATCCATATATTCTTCAGAGCTATTTGGTAATTAGGAAGGTATTCATAATCTTGTGCATCAGAGTTACTTAATATTTCAAGCATGACATAAATGATTCCATTATTCAAACAAACAGGGGTATTTCAGACATTTTGGTTCTTGTAGAATTCTTAATAATTTAACTCAATAAGGATAGCATAATGATTTGTGATATTCAAGATTTTACATTGAATTATCAGGATTTCAAGTCCGATAGAACAACAGATCCCAATATTGCGATACTTGTCAATCATTCGGACCGTGATACTTCACTATTATTCACTTCTTATTACTGACTACACCAGTTGATCCGATCAATATTATAATGATATTTGATCAGTTTTTGAGGAGACAAATAGGTATTCCGTTAGTATTTATTTCATTTTCATATTGTAATAGTATCCAAAATGTCCGACGACTTGGGTCATGCTCCATAACCTTTAGAGAAAGTACATCATTTAGGTTCATCGGTGTTCCCATAGTCTATTGAAATATATTCACTTGATCCAAGTCATAAAGGTATTTAGATCATCTCGGTATTCGAGGTTATTTTAGTCATTTGAGGTCCATACTCATTAGTTATTTCAAAACTTGAGGATAATCAATCATTTACATACTTTAGATATGTATCGCACTTCCAGTAATCTAGTCTTCAAATGATTATTCAAAAATAAGGAGATCGACATATTAAGAATTTCCAAATGTAGGAGTTTATTTTTGGAGTTTTCCAAATATATCAGGAATTTAATCGGTGATTCCAAGGTTCAAGTGAATCAAAATATAAGTTTTCATGTCTTTTCCATTATCATAGTCTTTCATAGTCCTTTTTACTCTTTAAGGGTATTATCGTCATTCTATTCAATTATGTCAGTGGCATTACTTTCGATAAATTAGACTTTAAAGTGTTATAGTTTCTTTAGAGTTCAGGGTATTTTGGTCATTTGAACGTTGGAGGTTATTTTAGTTATTTCGTAGCTCGAGGACATTTTGGTAATTAAGATCAATCCAAACCTATGTATCTTTTCTGGTAATTTG